GAAAGACTTGTTTTCGAACACGGCACTATTATTTGATGTGGATAACATATATTTATCGCCCCCTTGTGTTTTGAAGCAAAATGCTCCATGTTTAAGAAAGTCGAGGAAAATGAGGGTAAATAGGGGCAAGTACAAAGAATGTAAGCAACGTCTCCGGAAAAAATTGTTTTCGAATACTGTACCATTATTTGATGTGGATAACATATATTTATCGTCCCATCGTGTTTTGAAGCAAAATGGTACACATTTAAGAAAGTCGAGGAAAATAAGGGTAAATAGGGGCAAGTACGAAAAATGTAAGCAACGTCTCCGGAAAGACTTGTTTTCGAACACGGCACCATTATTTGATGTGGATAACATATACTTATCGCACCATCATGTTTTGAAGCAAAATGGTACACACTTAAGAAAGTCGAGGAAAATAAGGGTAAATAGGGGCAAGTACGAAAAATGTAAGCAACGTCTCCGGAAAGACTTGTTTTCGAACAAGACACCATTATTTGATGTGGATAACATATATTTATCGCCCCATCGTGTTTTGAAACAAAATGGTACACGTTTAAGAAAGTCGAGGAAAATAAAGATAAATAAGGGCAAGAATGAAAAATGTTACCAACGTCTCCGGAAAGACTTGTTTTCAAACACATCACCATTATTTGATGTGGATAACATATATTTATTGCCCCATCGTGTTTTGAAGCAAAATGGTACACATTTAAGAAAGTCGAGGAAAATAAGGGTAAATAGGGGCAAGTACGAATAATGTATGCAACGTCTCTGGAATGACTTGTTTTCGAACACGGCATTATTATTAGATGTGGATAACATATATTTATCGCCCCATCGTGTAATATCCCGTCAGCTTATCAGTATAAATCATGTTTTTAGTTCCGATATTATTTTCGGAATTAATTATTTCAGTCATTTCAGTCTAGATTACCGGAAATTATTTTCGACGTTCCGTTTACGTTCCGAATAATTTTGGTAATTAAGCATTATGTTTAATTAAGATTAAGCATAAAAGAGGTGATTAATTATTAATTAATCACAATAAGCCGTACCAAATTGCCTAATTAAATTCAAAGTGCCGTACATAATTCCTTCAAGTAAGGAAATTCTTTCTTCATTTGTAAGCATATTGACGTGGCATGATTTAAGATTATAAGAGGTGATTAGTCACCAATAGACCACCTAATTAACTAGCAATTGTCAAGCCAAGAAAAGGCCACGTTTATGCTACCTCATTCCCAAATAATTTGGCCCCTTTCGGCTTAGTATAAATAGGGAGGCATTGGGACGATTTTTCCCACTTTGCAGCACTTTATATCTTCCCCTTATATTCCATTAAGTTCAGCACTAGATAAGTGAGCAAGTTACCCTAAGTTCTTTCATATCGCACGCACGGCAAGGGCTAGTATCGCACGCACCACCGAGAGATTCCCTTCGCACGGAGGTGTGGTCAATCGAGGGTTGCAAAGGTAACACCAGCTTACCTTTGAATTTATTATGTTAATGAAGCGTAGGTTCTGTTTAGTCGAAGTCATACTCATATAATGGCTTTAGGTCGTACGGCCGTGTGTAGGATTCATGCCGAGCCATCACGTTTTACTTCAGAAATTCTTC